TTCATTGTTCTGCTGTGAGCAAAAGCTTGCGAGATATGTCACACCACCTTAAGTAGGAACCATAGAGGTTAGGCCAATCCGAGGAGGAACACTGGGTGAAATGGTGGAGCCACAAAGACAATACTTTCTCCTGATTTTCTTCTTCCTCAATCAAGTCTATTATTTCTTCCAGTGCACTCTCAATCTCTCCTCGTTCACTGGTGCTAAGGGTTGGTGCATCAGTACCGTTGCTGGCTTGACACAGTAAAGGAAGCCATGTTGTTACCATCTTCATTTTAGTTTGCTTTTGCTGCTCCGTTTTGCCTCCATTTTGTTGCTCTTTACCCATATCCTTGGCATGCTTGATCAAGAATGCTGCAGAAGTGCAGAGTTTAAAAGTCTTGAGGAAACTTCTTAACATGCATATAGCCATATATCTGTATGGTACGGGTTGCAGGAATAATAATGTTTATCTAAATTTCTTCTTTTCTGCCATTCTAATAAGAATTTTTTAGTCATTAATGTGTGTTTAGATTATGTTATTCTGTGTTTGTTTGAGCAGAACTTCGTTGAAATTTTGGTCCAATTATTTTGTGGTTTACATAGATCGGTTCCAAACCCATACTATTCTAATTTCATTTATGATACCAAACCTGTATATATCTTCTTGTGAACCAATTAGGAATTATGATATGATTTGATCTTTTCCATAAACTCAGATTATTGTTTGATAACCTATCTAGGTTAGTCTCATGCCAAATAATTTTAACACTCACCATTAATTGTCTAGTGAAGAACCAAACTCAAGAAAATTGAAACCAATCAATGTAAACCACAAAATGATTGGACCAAAATTTCAACCAAGAAACAAAAAGAAAGGACTTTCTTTGGAAGAACCGTATTTAGGGGAAAAAAATATTCCTCAAGTAATTCATTCATACCTGTGAGCTTGACCAATGAAGCTTGGACCCTTGGCTCAGTTGCCAAAGCTAACCATCCCAACTTTTTTACCCAAGCCCATTTCTCCACCACCACTTCTCCGCCACCACTTTCCTCCAATTTATGGGCTAACCATAACAACTCGGCTGCCATCTTTTCCATGGCAGGCTCATCATCGTCCTCTTTCACATGATACCATCCCTTGGCCGCCCTTACAACCCTACTGAGCCCAAAATCACCTTTCCTTAGACCAAGCGAAAACTTATTTTCTTGATCCAACAAGGCGGCTTCTAGTTGGGAAAGCGTCTTGTCAAATGCTTCAGATAGAACTGCACAGTTGACCTGTCTTAGGGCTTCAGACCGTTCCTTAAGGTTCTCGTTGATCAACCTCTCCGCCAAGGAACGTACAACTTCATACTTTCTTGAGCTAGTGGGGATGTTGTTAACGAGGGAGAGCAGCTGGTAGATAGCCCGAGCAATGGCTGTGTCACGACCTTGGCCAGTAGCAGTAGTGCTACTGCTGCTATCTACCAGCTGTTGCTCATATTTATTATGCTTAACTAAAATTCTAGAGAAGGGGAGATAACTCAAAGGAAGACAGTGGACAAGGTGGAGGATGAAAAGGAAGACGTAGGCAAGTAAACAACGTAGGATTTGGACAAGTTTTGATTCATGGAAGAGAAACATGAAAGATTTGTCTGCTGACAAAAACAGCGGAACAACGAGGTTGCGAAGCAGTATGAGAGGGGTTGATGAGCTCTCCATAACCACCCTTATATGACTTAAATTTCTTACCTTTTCTTTGGTAATGGTGTAAATTTTGTATGAAGAATGGAGATAACAGAGGGAAACTAAAGAGGTTAGCTGATAAATTGGGTGATCTGAAATGGAGGACAAATAATAAGAATAAAGTTGGAATTATGATATGTACTAGTTTAGTTGTATTAACCGTTGAATTTTTATTACGTGTATATGGTTCCAATATAGTATGTAGCTTTCAATCTAAGACTAACAACGTTGATGTTTATAAAGTTTCTTGTTTAGCATTGAAGAATGATTGTATAGTCTAAATATTTCTTGACTTCTTGTATATAGCAATAGCATAATCTTACATTATACTTCTAGTATGTTGGTAGTTTAATCTCTTTGTTTGGACCAAAATCATGTTTAGTATGTTGGTAAATTGCAATATTTTTTTAATGCTTATAGATCAATGGATGATTAATTTAGTTCGTTCAATAAAGTGGATGCATATTCGTAATTTAGTATGGGTGGTATGTTAATTATGTCTTGCACTTGAGACCAGGATACAACTGAACAAAACATTTATCTAATTCACAATTTTACATACTCCATTTGTCCCTTTTTGTTAGATCTAATTTTTTTTTTTATGCCGTCCCTTAAAGATTGCTCTATACTAAAAAATATACATGCGGACTACTATTTTACTCTCACAAACATTACTTTGGTCCCACCACTTTTCTCTTTCATCAATTTCACTCAACCAAAACTTAATAAAGTAACTTTTGTATATAAGGCAAACAATTAAGGACAAATGGAGTTATTATGTACAATCGAACCTTAAAAAGCTAAGAAGTGGAGGAGGTTGGGTACAAAGACTGTGTAATTTGGAAGTCTGAAGCTCAACCCTAGCTACTAGAGCCGAAGATATTGGCCCCCTTAGTAAACTCCGATCCATAGTTCCCTTGGCCTTAATTCTATAATACTCATATTATACTACAGTATCATTCTATCAACTTTCCAAAGTATTGAGGTAAAATTTTTTTTTAAAAAAGGGTGACAAATATTATATACAAAGATTATCAATTTTTATTGCTATCGTACGAGGGTAGTAGGATCCTTGGGAAGGATTTTATGACTCATTTAGAAATGTTTTCAAATGCTTTAAAAACTCTCTTGATTTCTCTAGGTTCACAGCATGCCCTGCTTCCTTGATCACCACTAGCTGTGCATTACTTCCTAAGTGCCTGTATGTACACAGATTCAATTGCGTTCAAACAAGCAAAAATGTCAAATGCGTAATATTTAAAAATTGAGGGAGTACAACATAAGTCATTAAAAGGGTCGATGATAAATAAATTGCTTGAATCGGTTTAAAATCAATGATTACGTAGGAATGGATAATACGGACTAAACTAAATATGTTGCATTAAACTTAAGCATCAGTGTTATATACAAAAATTAAGTAAGAAGTATTGAAGCATACCGTTGCAATCGATATCCTAACTCTATAGGGAAAATTTGATGTTGCTCTCCCCATACTATCATTGTGGGCTGCATTCAACATTGAATTTATTGGTCAGAAAAATTAATGGAAATGAACTACATTATTGTTACTTCTAGTGAACACCCAAATAATAATGACTCAAAAACTTCTGAAAATGTGATAATCTTATGTACACAATGCCTCTCATAACATAATCTTATATACACAATGCCTCTCATCACCAACACAAACAGCCCTTCCTTCCCATACCTTGCCCGTTCTCGGTTCATAACATGCCCCAAACCCAGAAAAACCAGCACCCCAGGAGTAACAATAATGTATACTAGTTCATTTCCATTAATAATACATGCATGGCAAGCAGAAAAATTAAAGCGGTTCATCACTTACATGATGGATCTTTGGCAATTTTGAGAGTTGCCTATCCTTGAGTATTTCTTCAATCAATTCCCTCTTCTCGATCACATAATTTTTGCACATAACCTGCATAATTATTTAGACATGTACATAATTCATTAACGCCTAGTCGACCATAAACACCAATGTGCCTATTGTATGAGCATACATACACATATACGTTTGATGTGCCTGTGCTTGTTCCTTGGCACTGTATGTCAGAATATTAAGAGTATAGTTCTCTTTTAATCAGTCTATTAATTCATATTTTTAAGTTGCGTAAAAAGTTAGTGATTTCTATTGCTATCTGGTAATCACAAAATAAGTGGCACATGGAAGTAGACACAAGGTATCATATCTCGGATTTTGTGACTTACATTTATAAAGTCGGTCAAGAGCCAATCAGGCACTCCCTTGGGAGGTTTAACAAAGGAGAGTCTCATCAAATCCCTCAACTTATCAGTACTTTGAGGCATTAAAATCTTGCCAGCTTCATCCAAGTCTTGTACTTTGAACAAACCCTCCTTCAAGTCCTTCTCTTCAATACAAACCCCGGTGCAACACAACACCGCCTTCTCCACTGCCTCCGGAAACTGGCTTGCCATGCTATACCCTACAAAACCGCCATAGCTTATACCTACAAAGCTCGCCTTTTGTACTCCATGTATGTGCATTAGCTTCATCAAGCACCTTGCTTGAAAACTTTCTGACCTTTCCTTTTGGGTTGTGTAGGACCTCCCAAAGAATATGAGGTCTGGTACATATACCTGTAAAAATAATGTACTGAATGCAAATTTTATATACTTATATAGTTATATAGATAGATAGATTAGCAATGATAATACAGAAATGAGTTTTGATGCTAAGAATTACATTGTATTTGGGGATGAAATGGTCGATTGCATCAGCATATTGCCACATAGCATTGGCACCAAACCCATGAACCAATAGAAGGTTTGGCTTAGATTGCTTGTACACCTTAGGAACCCAACAATGCATGGTGGTTCCATCGCCAAAATCCGACAACACTGACCGGAGACCAGCATGGGAGAAGCTAAGCCGGTACCACCAGTCCCTTGAAGCCGTGAAGCTTAAGGATCTAATAATTGTGGTGCTAATCATTGTTTCGATTGGAATTAATAAGCTTGTTAGAACCCAGAAGTTCTAATCATATGGGCTAAAACTTTAATTAGGTTGATACTTGATTAATCATAAATATCGGGATCAAGATTGGACTAAGGAGGTAAAATATTCCACATAATAAGGAATCAAGGATTAACCAAATTTAGCCATTAATTACCAGCTGTTAAATTTGTTTATAACCAAGGAAAGAGAGTATTTTCACAAATAAGGTATATTATCAAGTTACCAGGCATAAACTTCTATAATTTCTCTTATCTTGCCACTAGAACAACAAAAAATTGTTGGCCACAATTGAAAATGAATCAAACTTACTTTCACTGAACACATTTTCATTTCTTCAATCAACATGTACATAAGAGTTTTTCCATTCATTTTGAAAGCAGCTAAACAAGTATCCTAGCTACCTCTCAAAAATTAATATTTCGCTGCAAAACTTGTGCAAGAATGTTGCATCGTTCATCACAGTGCCAAAATTTCTATACACAGATTAAAAGAAAAGAAAATATATCTATAATCTAAATGTATAAACGCCATGCTCTTCCTCTTTTACTAGCCTTTATTTCTCATTATTGTTATGCCTTCTGCTGGAAGCCTGGAAGTAGAATTAGCAAAATTGACTTGTGAAATCGTGTATTAACTCATGAGCTTCTTCAACCGCTTCTCTCCAAGATTGGCGACCTTGTTATGCGGCTCAAGAACATGTGCATGCTTGTAGTCTGTAAATACAACAATGATTGTGAGAGAGGAATATACACTTAGCATTGATCAGTAAAGTATAATAAGTTATATAACAGATTAACAGTGAAATTAAAGTTCAGTGTTCAGATAATTTTGGTTTAGAGGATACTAGAGGAATACTTCACAAATGATTAAAGGATTTGGGAAGAATAAGCATTAACTAGTGCCATATGATTACATCAATCTCGTTAATTAGCAATAGATGATGACAGCAACAATTATGATGATGATGCAGTATCAACCAATTGTCGTGATCTAGCATTTACCCAATTGGTTATCCCAAGAAAATCCAACTAAATTGTTACAGGGTATTCACCCTAAAAGTAACTGAAGAGGGAAAAGTAAAAAAGAAATATCACTTGTACTAAAGAGTATGTTTTAGGCTTGGAAATCATAACGGACTGCAGCTACACCCAATGTAATTAAGTCGTAAGGAAGGTCGGTGGTTATATACACTAGGAAAAATAATATTCAACGAAGGAAGATCCAGTCCCTCTAGTCTCTAAGATGAAACGAATATATTAGCGGCATTTAATAGATAGAAAAGTAGAACAAGAATTCAAGCACTACCTTCAGCAGCTTCCTTGTATCGAAGAAGTGACTCTCTAGCAGTCCCTCTTCTCAAATATGCCTTCACATTCTGCACCATAAATTATAAATCAAAAGGTATCCACAAAACCAAAATACAAATGAAGATAAAGTCACTTTGAGAATGATCCTAATTTACAATAATGAGATGGCTTGCCTTTACCGAAAGATTTTTCCCACAAGTTAAGCTTTTACACTATTTATACAGTATATTTTAATACAGGTTAAATCCATGTTTCTCATAGTGAGGAACATAACAAGTATCTCATAGGGGTATTTGTGTCATTTAGAGTTTGTAAGTGGGGTTAATATTGTAATTGAACTAAATTTGGGCTTCTCCTCCTCCAACCCGTTCTTCTTCTTCCTCCATCCTCTCACCTCCATCAATGGCAATCAGAAAGAAGATAAACCTTGTCCTTAAGGGTTAACCATGCCCAAATTTCTCCATTTTTGTTAGGGTTTTTCGTTTGATTAGGCGGCGAAGCCGCCGGAAAGGTGAAAGGGGGTGAAGAAGATAGGGGACGACGATGATGGTGGTGGTTTACAAGCGAAAGGATGACAAAGAAGCCGCTGGAAAGGTGAACGAGGGTGAAGAAGCCGCCGGACGTTGATGATGGTGGTGGTTTTATTGAAAAGTCAGAAAGTACAAAAAAATGATAAAATATTAAAAAAGTTGATTTTATTTACCAATTTGCCATTATTATGTATCTCACTATGAGGTAATGGGGCCTCCTCTTTTAATACATCACGGAACACTAAATGCACCACCCAAAAAATGCAAATATCAGAAACTTTTGTAATTCTTCAGATTTCCAATAAAGCTTCAATATTTTTTAACACAACTGATCAATTGCTTGAAAGCTCATCTTAGAGTTGCTTATATTAGTACATACTAGATTAGGTCCCGTGCCATGCACAGTAATCTCACATCATTTAATCAATAAAAAGAAAAAAATTGTATTAATTCGTATTAGAATTAGGCGAGAACCCAATTAAAGTATTAGAAAAAACTTGTTACAAAAATAATTTAAACCCAAAACTAATAAAAATTAATCTGGGTTTAACAACAACAACAATAATAATTTTTTGTAGATTCGTCATTATTTTAATTATTGTTAGAAAATTACCTTATTTAATATATAGTATTAATCATTTAAAGGAATAACATATAATGTACTAAAGATATGACATATAGAGTAATATTTAATATGATGTATTACTATTAAAAGATACGAGAAACAGAGTAATACCTATATATAAATTAAGGATATATTATTACAGAAGATACCTATAAAAGATTTGGAAAAATAATATGATAGTTAAATTATACTAAAATTCTCAAAGAAGATATTAGCAAAAATAGGAAGGGGTGTATTTGGAGGGACACTAAGAATTGACACGTGTATGGTGTCTGTTTTAGTATTATGTTATGATTAGCTAGCATTATAACCCAATTGTAGTGCAGCTAGAGCTCACGATTAACTTTGCATGTCACATCCAGAGAATCCAGACCCAAATAATCAGAAACTCAGAAAGTAGTTTGAATGATTCAAATTTATACTCCATAAAAAATTTCTGTAAAAGATTAGTACAAATTAAAACAGGACTCAAACCTAACATATGTGGAAGTGGAATATGATAAAGCCCCCGGTCAACAATAAAAGGCCTCACATTCCACTTTAGAACATTTAACATTACTTTATAGGCGTTACCAACTCCATTCTAAAAATAATGCAACTTTGGGCCTTTGGGGATTGGCAATTTGGCATGCATTTTTACGGGGACCCATATAATTAGGACTTGAGGAGATAGAATGAACTGGGATGAATTGCATATGTAAATGAAAGAGGTCGGAAGAAAAACATATGGCGCATGTTGAATAACAGAAAGTGTTGCACTCTTTCAAGAACAGAAAACGCATTTGTTAGTAAACATAATTTCCTTTTTGAGAGTTGATAGATGTTGTAGCTGGAATAAGACAAAGACAACATACAGCACTTGTCTTGAATTCTCTATTCTTTCCTTTTAGTTTTCCTTTATCGTCTCTAGATAATCACTCTTGCATAGAGAAACTCAGTATTAATCCACTGCTAAAGTGTGAGAAGATCCTATATACACCTTTGTTGGTCGATCAAAAGGATTGAATTTATAGATCGAAAGAGTCCGCCATAAAATTATCAATTAAGTTCAATTATATAATAACACAAAAAATGCAGAAGCAGATTAAGAGAAAGATTTCTCACCTTTTTACTCAGTGATATAGCTTTTGTGCAATCCTCCTCCGCTTGCTGGAAACTACACAAACAGAAAATTAATACAATGACATCACAATTTATTTATTTTTATTTTTTTTGGGGGGGGGGGGTGATTAAGTGGATTTCCTTATATTCATGAAACTCTCAAAAGTTGATTTCTCAAATATTGGATATATAAAACACAGTACATCAAAGGGAAGGCTGAAATGAACCAATCATTGTAATAAAGAAATCAACATTGTCAGAGAAACCGAATAAAAAGAAATAGATACTTACCAACCCAGCTCCAAGTATGCAGCTGCTCGATTGCAATAGTAGGTTGCATTAGTCCCATTCAGCTTTACAGCTTCGGTGTAATAGTTGACAGCCTTATTCCATTGTTTCCCCTTGTATGCAGCATTACCCTGGAGAAAGATTGGACAGTGAGACTGTAATTTTTATATCTCTAAACAATTAGAAAATTATTAAAAAGAAGCTCCAACATAAGAAAGAAAAACAATTAAGTCCAACAATTATGAGCTAATAATTGTTTCTCACGACTCAAAGTTTAGCTATTCTAATGAGTAATAACCCAACTACTCAAAACTTTTAATTCAACATTGTAGCAACCGGCACTAAACTTGATATCAAAGGAAGATATATGTTAGAAACTTAACAGCTGAAGATGATAAACAACAAGAGTTCCACTAATTAAAAGAAGGTTGTTAATAACTTAGACTTCACAGATTTCATTATTTTTATAGCCTGACAACAGTATTACTAACCTAAACAAATCACAGCCCAACCAATAGATGGATAGCAAGGAAATCTAAACCGCTTTCTTAGTGAATTGTAATTGCCCAAGGGGCATGAAAACACAAAGATAGTACTGCTATTTTGGGTGGCAGGGACCAGAAGTATTCAATATACACCTGCTCTTAGAGTTAAAGTGATAAATCACAATTCATAAAAGAATGTTTTATACAAGTACAATTCAACCTGATTAGTATCTAGTTAAAGACCCAATTAATGAAGAATCACAGTCATCACACAAATACTTCGATATTGTCGGTTAAGAAAGAAAAAAGTAAAGGATGACAATTATTTTTTGGTAGTATGGAGTGACTGGCATCTCCAAACTCAAGTCCAAACCCTATAAGAACATTAAGGAAGTAGCTTCTTCCTTATCCAAGGTACTGTACATTTGGCCTCTCATGCAATCTCAAACACTCTATATCTAACTTACTTCCTCCGCTTTTTTTAGATGCATCACTTTCTAAAATGGGAAGTTTCAATTTAGATGCATCACTTTCCTTTTTTAGTTAATATTCTCTCTCTCTCTCTCTCTCTCCCCTATCACATGGGTACACTATTTTCTTTCTCTATATCCCTCTCATATCCTAAAATTGCCTAGGAGTCCACAAATTTTGAAGTGATGCAACTAAAAAGAAACTGAGGAAGTGTGTTTTACTGATACCAAGTAAAACCAACATTCCTGAATCAGATGAGAGCAGTAATTCACAGGAAGCTCTCAATTTAAGGTCCAGCCTTTTCAATTTCATAAGGCGTAAGCAAACAAATACAATCTCCTCTGCAATCAGAAACACCTATTCCAGCTCTGGAATAGTGTTGCAAGGAAAGGGATCAATCATTGCTTTGCTTTGGTATGAATACAATTTGTGAGCTTTCACAAACCTAACATTAACAGCATTTTTAACAAACTAACCTTCTCTTTCAGCAGTTCTGAAGCATCCAAGTGACCATTGGTATCTGGCAACGGCTTGGACTCGGATGCAAGTCTCACTTGTTCTTGAAGTGTTGAATAGCAATCCAACACAGTATCGAGCAGAAACTTATCAGATCCATGAAATGCAATCAATGAAATTGAAGTTGGAAGACCATCGTGCTCTCCCAGTGGAACAGTAACCTGGCAGCAGAACAGCATGTGACTTCTACAATAATAAGCAGATAAATTCCCATAAAATTAACCCCCAAAAGTAACCCTGATTGTTCAATACCTGACAGCACCCGGACATGCTTGATATGCTGGATAAGAATAGCGCTCGATCATTAAACTCAGAAGACAGCCCTTTTCTTGAGTTGCGTGTTATTGGAGGATCAACTATTGTTGGAAGAACAAGAATTCCATCTACCTGAGAAAAAAAATAGAAGATTTAACACAAAAGATACAGCTTTACCAAGAAACCCCTTCCCCCCCCCCCCCGAAAACACCCCCCACACACGCACGCACAGAAAGAGAGAGAAAAAAGAAAGAAAAGTCTAAGGCCACACCACCTACAGATCTAGCTCATATAATCAGAGTAGAATAATATACTAGCCAACAAACAAGATATGGTCCAACTTCTTCAACTCCAACAAAACCACAGGTAGAAGATGAACAAAAGTTTACCAAGAACTGCAGACAAAGAGTATTTACTGAATTTGAAATCCTAAAAATGAATGCAAACTTATTCCTAATCATAATAATCAGCTCAACCTTGAATGTTCCAATTCATACATCCACTATGGCATATTTATTTTCCAATTTTATTCTGAAAATTAACATTAGAATTGCCCAGATTTAGAAGAAGCATAATATCTGCACAGAAGCTTGAAGAAAACAATCTCTGTTATAGTCATTGTCCAGCCTAAATGTTCATTAGTAATGCGGGCTTGCACACTTTCTATCAAGCAGTAATTACTCCTCAGTACTCAACCACACAAGGATATGCCCAATAACTGACAAGAAAATCCAAAAATTCAGACTAAGTTGCCTCAATCTTATGACTATAAGGAAGAAACCTATGCTACTACTTCCTCTAAATTATACTCTGTACCTTATAAGCAAGCATAAGTGTTTTCTGTTAAAATCTGTAACATTAAAATTGTGTTACGACACCATGGAGTGATCAAACATGCACCTTCTTGAACTTCTAAGATCTAATACATCCCAATATCTCATTACTGAAAACCTAAAAGAAGTTTGTCCCCCCCCCCCCCAAAAAAAAAAAAAAAAAAAAAAAAAAAAAAAAAAAAAAAAACTGTGCTTCAAAACAAGCAGCACAAATTACATCTGGTTAGGTACATCTTCAGGTACCCTGCAGCGGAAGTTCTGATACATGGAACAAGCAGGAATAAAAGGACTGTTCATCCTCATACAGACCTGGAAAATGGGTCATTTACGTCGCATTCAACACAACTTAAACATCATCATTTTAACAGCATGCAGGGAATAAGAGAAAACAGGATTATTCATCTATAGACTTGGAACCTGGGTCATTTAAGTCACCATTATTTTTCAAACATGCAGGGAATAAGGGGAAAAAGGATTGTTCATCCTTATATAGCCCTGGAAAATGGGTCATTTAAGTCACATTCAACAAAACTTAATGAACAGCTGAATATACCTTTAGAAGGTCCTGCAACGCAGCACGCAATTCGGCCCTCACTTTATACAAAACTTTTACGTCCTCAGGCATTGAATCGATTGCTGTACGAACACGTCCACATACATTAGCCCCCAACTTTGGTTTCACTGTTGTGATCCATTCTCCATGATTTGTCTTGAACTCATATCTGATAGGCATTTTAAATGCTGGTCAGAACAAAATACAAAAATCAAGAACACATCACAAATACAGCACCGATAAGCCATAAGAAACAACTCACCACAGAAACCATAATAATCTAGTGTGAATATAATCACCGTTATTTTTCAAACATGCAAGGAATGAAGGGAAAGGTACATTAACAGGTGAAAAACAAGCTTAATTCAGCAGACCAAGATTTTAAAGCTAAGCAGAATCATATCTGTTTATTTTGTGCATTTCATCAGTATTCTGCAGGCTAAAAAAAGCAAGAAAGATACAGAGAAGGATATAGATTTTAACATCAGGCAAAGTCTCTAGAATTGAATTTAGCAATTTATAGAAGCTAAACTAAAAAGAAAGAGCAATAATAATAGCCAAATATAATACCTAAGCATATACTCCATAAAGGATTGGGGAAAAAAAGACAATATCATTGCACAAAATAAACCCCTTTGTTATCTGGAAACCATCAAACACAACTTGCTTCATAGGGTCGCTCCATCCCACCCATATAAATTTCATAATAAGTCTTTATTTTTCTTTTCTATACTCTTTAAACCACATTCAATTACACCAACCTCTCAGTTTAGAAAGCAAGTGGTATCAGTGGTGATCAACAGTGCTAGGAGAGTATTCACCAAATAAAGGCAAAGAAAGGCACGGAATTAAATTCTTTTTTGTATGTATTAGTATACACTCTTATATTCGTTACTCGTTAGGGAAAAAAAAAAAAAAAAAAAAAAAAAAAAAAAAACACCAAGAAGGTATCACCCATACACAAAAGGGAATATTACATTAGGAATTCCCCTGATGAGCCAAGGGCTTCAATGGTCTGAATTTTCATGTCCTCAAGCTTATTTATACTCCCTTGTCCCAACTCCCAACTCCCAAACATTAGTACATTAAAGAAGAGCGTTCCAAGAAGATACCTATTAAGTAAAACCATAACCGACGAAAGAGCTTTGAGAGCTCCTTCTCCACTTTGAACAATTGAAGACTCTTCACAAAATGCTTTCAAACTTGCAACATTTGAGGCAATAAATTGGCCAATATTTACATGCTTGGGGCTCTGGTCTGCACAGTCAATGAAATAGAGCCATAATTACAATAATAAATTAATAATAACCTCCTTTTATACTGACATGGAACCATTGCACCACCAATACATCAAATCATCACACAAGTATTCATATATACATTATACGAATGACATTCAAATTTAACCCAGTACAGAAGAAGAAGAAAGCTTTACGTGTTGGGTTGCAACCCAACTACTAGCCAATAGCCACACATCCACACGTGTACGTCAATATTATTATTTGACATTAAATTAGAAACCTTGGAGTACATAGGTACTTGGCAGATATGCAGGATGGTAGGAAGTCAATGACTTGGATACTTTGTTTGGGAGTTTTGGTAGGAAGTATAATTACATTTTTCCTAATTAATTTATATGTGTTATGATAGTTTACATATTTAGGAAGATTAGAAGATCTTGTAAATTCTATATTTATAGGAAGATATAGAGGTACTTCTATGCAGATCTTTAGGAAGAAAAAATCATTGTATGTTATATTTAAGTAGAGAAGAGATGGAGAAAACCACCATTATACAAAAAATTGGGTTGGCAATGTTGTATACACAGTATAGTTCCTAACATTCCAAACATTATTTAAAAAAATACAATGAGGCTTACATCCAGATAGCTTTTCTGTCATCTGCTTCACAAAATGTGATGTCTTAGGCTTTGAAGCTTTCGAAAGTTCAAAGAGATCATCTGCAACTATGAAGCGCCTTGGCCTCCTGGGCTCAGTCTTTAACTGGAGCAAAACATGTCCAACGCGATGTAAAACAGAGGGATCCCTAGCAAACCATCCTGAATAATAGCATTAGCCAAGATTTACACTATAAGGATTATTGAAACAGAGGGAGGGAGGAAGGGGGCAAGGGGGTATAGTAAATTGATTTAGCGCAGAGTAGTTCATTACCAATAGTATCTAGACTTTGAGAATTTGGCAGGACTCCATCCATAGATACAGCCCCATGAGATGGGCGAAATCCAAACACACCACACAGTGACGCTGGAATTCTTATACACCCAATTGTATCAGTACCTGAACCGTTAGATTTGTCAGATCACTGAGAAAATATCCACCTTAATATTATAGAAAAATACTACTTTGCTGAATTACTTGGTTGATCACAAATTCAAAATAGCCAGCAATTAGCTGTTTCTAGAGAAAAGCAAATTATACGATCATATTAAATGCTTCAAAACTCAATAATAATCAGTGACTCCACAATCCCCCCCAAAAGTTACTGAGAATCTAACTAAATCGCAAAGGCACCCGCACATAGTACATGTGCCTCTACAGATATGGATCAATGGATGTGACACCACCTGCTCAAAATGCACAACATATGTCCAGAGAGAAGAAAAGATCAATAAGTAGTTGCAGAACAAAGTATAAGTTTGCCATTTGATGCCTTCATAATTCTTTCATGTAGCTACATTTTCAAAACTTACAAGACACCTCAGTTATGGGGCATAGCAATCTTTCCAATTATATAATATAGCTTTATAAATACATGATGAGTTGAAAAGGCCATGTACCAAGAGAAAAATCAACAAGCTGTGCAGCAACTGCTACAGCTGAGCCACTAGAAGACCCCCCAGGAATATGATGTGGTGTCGACGGATTGATTGGAGTCCCATAATGCACATTTTCGCCAGTAATCCTGAAAAGAAAACACTGCTTTACCTCAACAAACTTTTTCCCATCAGTAAGAGAAAAGTACCAAGTCAGAAACAAATCAAACGATGGCACTTGAAGAGCTACATTATGAACAATGATCACTGGGCTACAAATATTAGTGTCCAACTGACTAAGTTCATTAATAAACCATTAACCTGACAAGGAATCTAAACCAAGCACGACTTTCATCCAAAAATTTGGCAAACCAACTACCACCAATCACATGCACAGATATGTAGAACCTTGTGCATGGTGAAGGCAATACTGCATTTAGATTTTAGAATAGAACCCAAAAACCCAAGCAATCAAACAAGACCCAAGAGTCCAATAAACTTCCTCTGTCACAAATTATTAGCCACATTTCTAATTATACAGAAATAACAGAACACAGTGTAAATAGAGTTAGTTAAACTTTAAATGATCTCATATTACCTTTAACTGAAAACTCTGACACCATATGGCATGATGGATAGTCATGCTATTTTCACTACATTGTTACACCCCTAATCAAATGTGGCCATAAATTAGGAACGACGAAAGTATCAAATCAATCCTCACTAAAACAAGTACAGATCAACAATGACTCACAATGCCCCAAGTATGATCACTGCTCTCATGTATAGTATTCGAGTTTTCGATCATTAAACCAACTCACAGTTGGATTCTACACTAAAATTAAAGACAATGTATGCAAATTAACCCCAAAAATGACAAACCCATCAACCAGATCATAGCATAATACAACAATTTAAACACAAATTTCCTAACAACAAGTCCAAGAAATAAAATATCAAATGAAGACAGAAGTATCAGATAGATAGAGTACCCAAATGAGAGTTCATCCAAAACAGTGGACCCCACACAAGTAGCTCCCTTCTTCAACAAGTTAGTAATCGCAATTGCTGCTTTCTCTCCTTCATCATGCGTTTTCTTCCAATCTGGGTTTCCGAACCCTGTTATTCGCCCCTTTATCTCAAATCTGCACCATCACAAACACAATCACATGCTTCCAAACAAACCCATTTCAAAAATTAAATAAAAAAAATCACAAAAAATAAAAAATTGCAAAATGGGAAATGACGAACATGTCCTTGACGGCGAAGGTGAGGCCATGGAGAGGCAAAGGAGCAGCAGGGGGCGGCGGTTGAGGAGAAGGAAGAAGCTCAAAACGCTCAACAAAAGCGCCAAAATCCTCTCTTTCTAGAAGCTTCTTCTCTCTCCTTCTAATTGTCTCTCTAGAAACAACGACTGCGATCCCTGCAACACCAATACCGATCAAAATCCAAACTTTAGGGTTATTTGATAAGCTGGTCTTAAGGGAATCCGCCATTGTTAGGGTTTAATTTAATTGAAGATCTTAAATTTTTCTGGGGTTTTGGAGGGGGAGGAAGATGGTGGGGGTTTGAAGTTTAAAGTCGTAGAGGTTGATTGTTGTTCAAGGTTTAACAAGGGTTTTAGGAGAGAGAAAGAGGGAGAAATGGGAAGGTTTGGTGAGTGAGGGCTGAGGGATTTACAGCGGTAGGATGAAGATGGTTGGTGGGGCCAGTTGTAGTGGACGGTGGACGTAATAGTTGAGAGGAGGAGGTGTTGATCATAGGAATTTGGAAGATGTGGCTGACTTCGTTAATGCTTGGAATCTTGTGTTGGAACTTGGAATACTCTTGATTTTTTTTTTTTTAAAATGATATACATGATCCTAAGGCTAAGGGTTACATATTTAGAACACAAAGTTTCATACGTGACTAGTCACATCATGTGGTCGGGTTATTTAGGTGATTAGATGTAATCCTTCATATTTTTAAATAAGTTATTATATATTTCTTTATTATTTAAATAAATATTTTATTTCGTTTTTATTAAATAAATTATTTTATGTAAAATTTATTTGAACTGTATTATATTGATAAGCCCTATTTAAAATAAAATCCTCTTCTTACCTACTAATCATGGTTTAACACTAATGTTTATGGATCATATTAGCCCAACTTTAAGTGAACAGAGCCTATTTTTTTTTTACCTAACCCAACTTATGGTGGCCCAAAAACAAGTTATGATTTTATTAGGATTAGAAAAGAGCTTAACACCTAAGCCCATATACTTTTTTTTTTTTACAAGAAGCCCTAAAAAGGAAAAAAAAAAAAAAAAAAAAAACCCAAAAACCCCTCAAAATTTTCCCTATCACATCAATTTCATCACTGCCTTCCTCCCTCTTTGCTGCTCACGAACCAGAGAAAAAAAAAAAAAAAAATTTGCTCGCTGCTGGCGACACCAGCCACCACCGACGCCACCCCTGCTGCTCCGGCGTCCACCGCGGCCCCCCTCGACAGCAGTTCGCCCCTCTCTCCTTTCTCCCTCTTGTTTTCCCTTCTTTTGTTAATTCAATCCAAGTTTAAATCTCTATCAATTTTGTTATTTAATTGTTATTATTATGGTTTGATTATGTATATTAACTGTAAAAGATTACAAATTTATGATCTTTATTTTGTTTAAATTAGTGAAGTAATTTTCAGATTTATTTAATTGAGAAAATAAGGGTTTAAACCTTGGTTTTTCATGATTTTAGGGCTTAAAACGTGTTAGTCAAGTTACTACAATATGTAGTGTTTTTATTGTGTTAAAATTATATTTTTGATGATTTAAACTAATTTTCAGATTATTAAAAATATAGAATTGGAAATTTAAACCATTCTAATTTCTAAATCATGTTTCTTAGAGTTTCCTATACACTACATGACCGTTATGATTAAATTATGTTAATAGGTTATTAAAGTATCGAGTTTAAGGTTTAAATTAATTTTTCATATTTTTGTAATCTGAATTTTATTGTTTTGGTGTCAAAGATAATAGGTTTTGAAGTTTCTACATATATATTTAACCTATTATTCCATTATTACAAGTATGGGTTGTTAAATTTGCAAAGGATGAAACTCTGGATTTGTGCACATCTAGAGTAATGACAAACAAGGGTTGGGGTACACGGGGTATTAGTCGTGCCGTCTGATTTACGAGTCTCTTGTTTTCAAATACTTTTTAAAATTATAAGGAGTTAGATGAGATCTCATACTAGCTATGGCCACGGAGTCGCGCCTATCTGCCATTGGATGTTTATTGATGTTTCCGAAAGGAGGCATGGGGTTTTTCTTTTATTGATGTTTCGAAATGGAGCATGGGGAGACAACCTTGTCTATTGCTAAATCCAATGAATGAATGAAATGAAATGAATTATTTATTATTAATTAGTGAAGTCTTAGTAATGTTAACAGTTGAGACATGTGTTTAAGTCAATAATTAAATTGTGTGTGTTGATTGATTATTAGTAGCATGCTAGGAATCCTTTGTTATACTTCGTAGCTTGTATGTATTCAACGTTGTTGATTGCGTGTTTGGGTGTCTTTTTCTTAGTCATGACCTTCGCCTTTCAATGACCCTGTCCAATTTTTACACTTGCGTGTAATATTGGGAAGCAGATTAATCACAGGTGTTTTCATAGTCCGGACTTGCGTCAAGGTGGTGGGATTTTATGTGGAGTGTTGGTTATTGTTCACAGTTTATTTCATTTTATAAGTTTTAATTTATTTAAACTCTGGTTTGATTTATTTACTAATTTGTTGGGCTTTGAATAAGGGATTTAATGGTTTCAATTTGTAAGACTTAATTTGATTTCGACCATTGGTTTTGAAACTTATTTATAACTGAGTTAGTTTTCCCGCTGTTAAATTCTGAATTAGCCTTAACGTTTGGACACGTGGTGATAACACGTTAGTAATTCTCTTGGATTTTATTAAAGGAATTACAGGTTTAAAGAGAGAATTATTGGGGTGTTACATTAGGGGTTATTCGGTCAGAGGTTACCGCACTTATAAAACAATGGGGGGTTGAATTCATTATTCATGCCATAATAAGAAGCTTGTTAACTACTTGTGGCGAGGTGAGATTCTCGGGGTAATTTGGAACGTGTTTGTATGAATTTCTTTCCGCAAAGCTTAATGGCTTTGGTGGAGGCCGATTTGCATTACCATCCTAACGTTTTTCTTCGAAATATTCGAAAAAAAAACTTATTAGCTAAACTATGATGAACTTATAAAATAATATTTTTTTTATTTTTTATTTTTTATTTTTTATTATTTTTTTTTTAATATGAAAGTTACACTATCCTATGATCTACTACGTAGTACTTCGTACTTGCATAGTTGCATCTAATCAAATGTTTTAATAGTCAACAATTCAATATAAACTAGTGTGTAGCCTGGGTGATGTCCCGGGTCGATACGTTAAATATTAACGTTTTATAGTTTTTATGTATTATATTTTATGTAGATGAATTTTACTTTTAGTTTTTTTTAATGTACATAATAATGTTAAATACTTTTGTTTTAGATTTAGTCTAAAAAAATAATTTGTCATGTAAAAGTACAAAGAAATAACATTCTTGACAAAAACATTCTCTTGGTGGAAGAAGGAGGGGTGACACGTGGCATATGTACTTGATTAGGAACGCCTTTTAATATATAGGGAGGACATATGAGAGGTTTTCCCTTCACTTTACTAACCAAAAAAAAAAAATTAAATCACCACCACCTTTTGCCACTTTTCAGTCATTTTTCAGGTTGTGGGGCCCACTTTTTTTTTTTTTTTTTTTTCCCTTTCTTGCTATTCTATCCCTCCTTTACTCTACTCTACTCTTCCTCCAACATTAATTCATTGTCAATTATTCAACTTCCCCACCATTAATGAAACCAAACCTTAAATTTCTTTTTTCCTCATCGACAACATCATAACCGCAATATACTTGCAATATCAAGGAAAAAAGAGGAAGATGATGGACAAGTCGCCAACTTTAGTAGTTGAGAGGGGACCAGTAGGTGGGTATCTTTGCTGACATTGCATTGAACATCAAAGGTGACAGAGGTAAGCAATTTTGAAATTATATCAAGAACCCTAATTTCAGAAAACCTCCAATTTAATTGTACCAAGAACCCTAATTTTAGAGAACCCCAAATTAATTATATCAGGAACCCTAATTTCATAAAACCCCCAATTTAATTGTACCAGCAACCCTAATTTCAGAAAAACCCCAATTTAATTGTATCAGGAACACTAATTTCACAAAGAATTGAGCTTACTTGATTGTAACTTCAATGTTTGCACTTGTGTGGGAGAATTCTTTAACTTAAAGCTTGAAAGCTTGTGAGAATTTGAAGGTAAATGATTTCGAAATTGTGGAGGAGTTTGAAGAGTAGTTTTATAGTGGGTCAAATTAGCCGTTAATAGCCCCTATGTGGGCCCCATAGCTGGAAATATGACCGGGGAAAGAGGCAGAATGTGGTGATTTATATATTTACTTAATTTAATGGGTGGTAATTTAAAATAATTTTTTTTGAGTGGTAATTTCAAAATGTTTGTATTTGGTGGGTGGTAAAATACAAAATTTTCTAATACATAAACCATAAGAATTACAGTAATCTATTTGGGCCTCTCGGGTGCTGGTGCAATAGAGCAATTTTGTCGAAACAAAATTAAAAACATAACATAAAAGAGCGGGCAAATGACCACCATTTCAGTTCATCAAGCAACAGCCCCAACACCAATGTTGGCAACCTACAATGTAGGAAAGAAACATAAATATTGCGGGAGATTGAGGGTACACGCGGTAGTGCGGCACCATGGCTGCCTGCCTATCTCAGAAGAAGACGAAGTAAACATTCCATCGATCATGGGTAAATTTTCATAATGGGGTATTCAGTAGCTTTAGTTGGTTTGTATTTCCTTGATTTTGAAACTTCCATTGTGTAGTAATTGTGTTTATGATGTTTGATTGTTTGGTATGGTGATGCTGAAATTGAAACCCCCATCCTTTTTTTTATTTTATTTTTTATTTTTTATGGGTTTATATAGATTGATTTGTGTTAGGAAATACTATGCAAATTCCCTTTAGAATCAGATTAGTGGGAATAAAAATATATATGAATAATACAAATAAATGAACAAATATTTGTATCTCTAATCATGTTGCAAAATGTATTGAAAAAGATAAATAATACACCAGTGTTCACAACACTTATTATAACTCACAACTAGGTGTGTTCACCGGTCCAAAACCGGACCGGACCTGTTGGGACCGGGACCTGAATTAGGGGATTTTGACGACCGGAGACCAGACCTGATTCAACAGGTCTGGTTCCGGGTCAGGCCTGAAAATCCAGGTCCAGTCCGGGTTTGGACCTAAGTAGACCTGTTTTGTTATTTTTTTTTTAATAATAACCTGTTGGACTTGCATATGGACCTGTTTTGTGATTTTTAGACCTGTTGCATAATTTAATAATTACATACAACCCACCACCACCAAGCGAACCCACATACACCAAATCGCCACCAATCGCACCAAATCGCCACCACCGCACCAAATAGCACAACCTTCTAATTCTCTCTCTTTAATAATCACGTGCGAAGCTCGTGATTCGGTTCGAATTATACCCAGATTTGCGCGCCCGATGCTGCTATTGTTGGCGACAGTAGGTGGAGCAGGGTTCTTGGTGCCGTTGTGGGCTGTGATGCGGATTGTGGAGTGCAGGTGCGGTTTGTGATCTACTGCTGTCGATTTTTTGGTGAGGTGGAGTGCGGTTTTGAGTGCGGCGACCTGAGGAGTGAGCTGCTCTATTGGTGTCGGTGTCGCGAGACTGCCGGGTTGGTTGTTACGAGGTGAGGGATGGTGGCTGCACGGTTGTGGGGTGCAGGAAGGCTGGGAGGGTCGGCTACTGGCAACTGGGGTGAGAGACAAAGAGAGTGAGGGAGTTAGGGTTAGAAATGAAAAGTTGAAAACTGATGGGTTGTTTTGATTTTTGATTTT